GCCATTGGATCGCAGAGAGACACGGGATTGGCTGAGGCCAGGTGGTCCAACATGTCTGCGCCCTAATCCGACGCCACACTACACCACACACAGTTCAGGTATCTTTTTGCTGCCGGCTACTAAATTAACATTTCCTCTCCGGGTTTGTGGAATCCCACCTAAAAATGTGCTTTTGTATTTTAATCGAGATTGCGTTCAGTGGCTTTTTCTGTAATGGCTTTATTCCCTATTAAGTGTATTGACTATCCCTTTTTTTCCTGTTTATTTTTGTCGGCTCACGTTTCAGTTGTCATATTTTATTACGCTACCATTTTTAGCGTAGGGTTTCCTGTTGTTAAATCATAAAAGTTGCTTTGCAGCCGTTCAATCAGTCCACCCAAGCCCCCTGGCTAATCTTTTTGATTTATTCAACCATTGCTTACAACCAATACCGATTTCGCTGCGTCATAAACCTTTTACTCTTGTTTATTTATTGCTTCTAAGTGTTGGTTTGATATTCTAAATTGTTTGGCTGTTTATTTGAGGTAAAAATTTGTGTTTCCTTTTCAAGCCTTTGTCATGTGCACTCAGACGTCTTTGTTTATTCGATTCCTAACAAAAGGATGCCTTGGTAAGTTTCCCCACTTTATGACGTCGCTTCAGCTTCTCCTAAGCGTTTTAGTCGTCACCGAGTGATGCCACCAGAGTTCCGTAAAAAATATTTTCCAATGGTGAATGAAAAAGAAATTGACAATTACCGAAAAGAAAACTTCCCTGACCCGACTTTAAAGGCTCCCCTTATCTCTCCGGTAAATGAAGCCCCTCGACACCTCCGGTATGTTACTATATGTTAATTGTTCATTAACTCGTTGTCAGTAGTCATACTAAGTATATGAGGTTTTAAAACTTCCCTAAACGTTCATCCAATTTTATTTCATCAATCATCAATTTGATTCTAACCCTCCTGATTTAACTGGGAAGTTAGATTGTATATCAATTCGTTTTAGTTTATTTCCTCCAACTGACGCATTTCGCACATTTAGCCTGGTTTTTCAGACTTTTGTGGTCCATCAAACGTACGCTTGTGATGTCGTATTTTAGGCTGCTTTACCAGGAGTTGCTTCCACACAACCTTGATCCCCGTTACCGTGACCATCTCCGAGAACGGCTTGAACGCCGTGAAATGATGCTCCGCAGACGGCACTTACAAATCCCTGAATTCTATGTCGGTAAGCAATAGCCAAGAGTATGCATTCTTGAAATGGTTATATACTAAATGCTTTCATTGATTGTCGGACTTGGTACGCTACATGTCTGTCTGGTACGCTACATACCTGTCTGTTCTTCGAAGTGCGTTATTGTTTATTCTGCCTGATAACTTCTCCCCCATTCATCCCTTCAGTAGGTTCATGAATATACAGGTTACAGTTTTATAACTATTACCTCGTTAGTTCTAGCTTGTTACTTTTGTGGCACTTTAAGGCCTAGCGTGTGTTTGTACACTAAAATATGTATATAACGAAGGATTAGCGAAACGTTTACTTGGGCCAGTACTCAAGTGTCAACAAAGAGGTAAACAGCTAAGTATTTCTCCATACGTCGAATACTGAGTCATTTTTACATCGCATTCTAAAAGCCACCTGTTTCTATGCCAAACGTTGCCGTATTTTGATCATCTTTGTGAGATTTATTTGTCGCGGTTCCACTTTGTCGATGCACTTAGCGACATGTTTCTCCACAGTGCTCCACATTTCGTGTATTGATCATTGCAAGTTTGCCCTGGACGTTGCCGCAGATGTTGAATTTGAAGATAAAGTCACCGGTTTTTTTCAGAAATCAGTTCGATTTTCCAAAACATTTAAATGATAAAAAAGGTGGATCTGCCCAACTCTAAAATATTTTCTACTGTTGAGTGTAACGTCCAAGCTCGGGAATCGCCTCCCTGATGAATGACAGGAAATAGCCTTGTTATTCAACTAATAAGGGACTCCTGGCTTTTGTGCTAGGCAAATTGCGCACCCAATAAATGGCCAAGCAGTCGCTGTACAGTACTCAAAATCATTTCGTGTACATAATAAGCATTAGATAAATGCCACAAGTTGGAATTTTTTCTGATAGACAATTTTGTAGTGTTGTGAAATCCATCAAACTGTAAGCCCAGGTTCGGGAAGCTGCTACTGCAGGCCAATAAACGTACAACTGGAGGCCTGAAAATCCAATGATCTAATTGGCTCCCAACCTATAACTTGCTCACCGTGGTTATATATTAGGACAAACTAACTTTAGTTCTGGGCTAAAAAGTTGATTTCTGGATTTTTTAAGTTGAAAATTGCCTGTTATGTTATTGGATCCGAAATCTAGTAATGCATGTGGTTACGATCCAACCTTAACTGACGTGCGCGTAGCATCTAGACTCAATTCATTAGAGTGTTTTCCTCAGTCGTCTCTCGCCACAGTACCATGGTAGCACGTGGTAGCACGCCTGCGTTTACATTGTTGGCGTTCTCTGAAATCTCTTTAATCTGTAACTTGTTCTCCTGAATCATATGCACACTCACTGAGCTCCGGTTCACCCGTGTACTTAAGTTTGAAAAAATTGAACAGACGTTCTAAAAACGTGCACGAGTATGGATCGCATTTTTTACTTTTATCCATGCATACTATTGACGAAATTTAAGAAACTTCACAACTTGATTGCTCCTTAATTTTATTGTCCTTTGAGTACGGTCCACGATAAGATTATATTTTGCTTGAATATGCACCCGTTGTATCAACCAACACTTCGACCATGGCAGGTGTCATCTGTAATTCAGTGTGGAAATTGTTGGATTTCGGTAAAAAGTATTTGCCAATTTGAATAGGTTTTATTGTTCTCGCATTTAATTCTATTCGACCTTACTTCGGGTTCGTTGTTTGCGCTTCTCGTACCTGCTTTGGCCCATCACAACGTGTTCATCCTTTTACTGCATCATCGTGTTCGAGGTATTTCTGTCCTTTGATCGGAGCATGTCTTGATCTAAGATGTCGAGATCCCTTCTCACTTGAGTGACAAATCTCACCATCGTGGTCTTATTCGATAATATACATCAACCTCGAAATATCATCCACTTCAGCTCAACTTAAATGATCAAGTTGGCAAGCAGAAATGCAGTTCACGATTTCTGCAAAAAAGTTGGTTTAGTTTTGGGTCCCATCTCCGTAATTTGGTTGTCAAGCCACAAAGTTTATACCGCTAAATGAAGTGTCGTCTGGTTTGGCGGGTGACTTGTTCAAATTCTTGCTAGTTTGTTAAATCAGCCATTTGTGCCACCACTCCAGTCGTCTACAGCGTGTCGGATCTCTATTTGCTGACTACTCTACTCGGCAAAGGAAATACGAAATTGGGGACCCGTGAAGCGATATGAAGTCATGCTGAGACAACATCTCGCCTTGCTAAACGGGTCCTGTGCCGCTCTATTTTTAATATCCGAGATCAAAAGTAAAGCGGCAGGTGTAAAGGACTAGTACAAAATTTCTCACGTGTCTTCATTTCCCATCACGCTTCAACCTGGATTCAAAAAGTGGAGGTCGAATTCAGGGCTTGAAAAGATGATTGAGAATTTATCCTTGCCTTTACTTGCTCAGTTCATACATGCACATATACATACGGAAAATCGGCCTATGGTATGTTCGATGTACCTTCGCCGTGTATCTTAGTCAAACCAACACTCATCTTCGGATCGATGAATTTGGCTGGGCCTAACTTTCACTCCTACTTTATGCCTTTTTTTCTAAACTAGGATCGATTCTGGCAGCTACGGTTGCAGATAAGTTTGCACCTAACAGACGAAATCGATTTGTCGGAATCTGCATCGAACGCAATAATGAGGGACTTTGGAGCAATTTTACTCTTCGCAATGTTATTGATCGGACAGGTAGTGCCAGATTTTTTAACTCGTGGTCTGTTGGACATGAACACCTCTGACAACCATAGCAAGTGTTTACTCAATCTCCTCGGGGTTAGTGTTCTTAAGAAATGCATGATTGGTTCTTGAGTAACCGTATGGTTCTGAGGATGGGTGCGTAAATGCACTGATTATGTAGCTAACATTACACTGTTTGGTCATTTTCAGCTGTTGAGGTGAACTTTGAGCTCTATAATCCGACCTTGATATCGATAGAGGTCTTGTTGTTGGAGAAGCGTCTTGACCGGAACCTTCTCTACTTACGCGATGCCCCTTTGTCCGAGTCCCGTATTCCCTTCGATTTTGCGCCTGTGCCTCACGATAAAGGTGCTCCTGTTCTTGTCAATGACAAGAAGGTACGATTCAGGAAGTATCTTCTGTAGTGGGAAGTGCTAGTAAATAGGTTTTGGGAATGCACGCTTTCGTCACTTAGTTCGAAGTAATTATCTGAAAAAAATCCGCCAAACTGATAGCTTCTACTACTTTATTTCATTTTTTCAAATAATTTCCTGCTCTTTTACCTTTTATTTGCACACACAATCGGAGATTTTAGGTGCCGACGTTAATTTTCTAGATGTAGAAAATATTGATTAAAAGTCCTCAAACAATCAGCAGTTGCTTTTTCTCTACACTGGTGCTTCTATCCTTTTATTCATCATGGTCTGGTTACTCAGGTGAAACTGTTACCAAGACCGTGGCACTTCCAGTGGCATCTGCATGGATATCGAGGAATCGACCTCGACTCCATGTACAGTCAGCTTACTAGTGATGAACTGAAACAAATTGAGAAGAAGATTGAATACGCAGACCGTTACGACTTAATGAAAATATATCGGTAAGCGTTGCATTATCTGAAAACCTTTTAGTACAAAATAATGTATGCCTTGATTTGTTGCCAGGTCGAGGAACACACCTGCAGACTGCAACATGGTAATGGGTGAAGTTGGTCTCCAACACACGCAGTTGCTCCAACATATCGACTTACTTAAAGGGCAATGGCAAAATGGTGTCCGGAATTCGTCTGACTCTTAGCGCTTTTCGAAAACTTTTCTTTTCCTGACAGCTACGTAATGTACATGTTACTCCATGAATCGATTACTTTGAATGGCCAGCTAGGCGCACTTTTCAGGCACGTGTCAATCATTAGCTCGCATCACATAGTTCAGGTTTCAGATGCTGACACCGTGGAAGGTTATTAAGCTGAAGTCCTATAAAGCGGAGATTCATGCATCAGTCAGTGGGGTCACAGGGCATTTGGCTTCGTTACGCAAATCTGTGCAATGTGATGTCAAGAATTGATTTGCTCACTGCTAGCATGTTGGACCTACAAAGTGTGTCCAACTATACCTCATTGTGTTCAGTAAGTCGGTTGGAATCGTTGCCTGTAACCGTGTGCGCACGACACTCAACAGGTTTCGGGAAAGGTGACTCGTAGTCGCCTTGACACCACACACACACGCGCACACCAGTTGACACACTCGAGCCACTGTGCTTGGTCGACCTTGTCCGCATGTGCATTTCCCGTTAGCGGCAGAAGGTGGCCTCAATATGACCATGCTAGGCATTACTGGCAGTGTGGAGATAAAATTAAGCAATCGCATTCAGTTCCACAAGGGTAGTTTTCATCAAGGCGAGCCCTGCCATCTGCCTGCTTGCTTTTTCAACATTGAAAGGGGACAAAGCTAATTCGATTTAGGATATCCTGTTGTGAGGCCTGTTACGCGATACTCCGACCTCCACGCGCATGGCAACTTCTGTGTTTCCCACGCATCGGATTTGGATTGCTAATTCAACCACCATGGTTGAGAAAGTGCTGGCGTCGTAGTGGTTCACATCTGAGAGGGGCGTCGCTGCCAGTGTCAGTAGCTGCGTTTCGGTAGTAACGAACACCAGATTGTTCTGTTGAATATTCGCACACTTCTGGGGGTTAGAGCCGAAGACCCATAATTGGCATAATTCTAGTAGCACTTAACGGGGCATAAAAATCGGAGGAAGTGTTTGAGGTGGTATGAAGTAGCAACTTGTTGTGGAGCCTCCCCCAACCACCATCCATCTGCGTGAATCGCACATCCACTTTGATCGTGCTTGTGAGCACAACACGTTACACGAGTCCCTATCCAATCTCCGCCGGTGGCTTAAACGGCGGTGAAATGTACTCTTGTCACTGCGGTGGTTATAGGTGGCTCGGGAAGGTCTTTGATGAATCGTCAAGTATTGAGGTGGTGCTGCTATTTTTTTACTTTGCATTATGACAAACACTTGGCATTAGTTTCCAAATTTAATGTAGACAAGAATCTAAATTCACTAAATATCCTAACTGATAATCACATTTTATAACTAGTCACATTTTCGTCGTTACTTTAAGTGGTTACTGTGAAAAGATTTTTAAAGTTTGCAAAATGTTTCATAAGTTGGCTGCGTATGTAAAGGTTTTTAAACTGTTTTAAGCTTTTCTTCTAACCTATGCTAAAGGCAGTAATAATAGTAAATGGGACTCTCTGGTTGCTCAAAAGGAACGTTTTAGTAATTACCAGCCTTCCAAAATTTCGCCAAGTAAAAAAATGCAATCTTGTTCTTGCGCAAACGTCGCACGCTTTACTAATTATTACTTGACAAGTAGGATTGTGGGTGTTTGACATTTGTTAAGACTAACGAGCCAAAATGTTCTCGTGTATTTAAAATTCACCCGTACACACACACGCTTTGTTTATCGAAAAGTGATGTAGGAAATTTACCATTCACATTGATGTCTACGTGTCTGCTACCTGTGTCCATAATTTCGAGTGCGGCGATTGTGATGCGATTACTAGTTTTAAAAACGAAAAAAGATCTGTCGTTTTATTTAAACCACTGAGAAAAGCCTGCCACCTAACATGACCAAAGCTAATTCTTTATTGTGGCTTACAGTAAAATCTAGTAAATCGGACGCTGATAAAACACACAATGAGGTATAACTGTGAAGAACTTTGACTTGAAGCGATTTTAACATATTTGGCTATGTTTTAGCAGAGATGTACAAAAATTGTGAAGTCCCGGATCGCCAAAACATTATTAAAACCGTCAGCAGAGTTTTGTTAGTGTTTATAAAGTTATGGCTAAACGGTATTTCGCTTTATTTGTGGGCCACCTAAAGCTGTTCTCTAAATTAATATTTAAACCACAAAGAGATGCATTAGTTAGGGTTGAGTTGCGTTTTTAAACTAGTACGCACCAAATTTAAACAAGATTAGGCACACCTAAGTATACCACCGGGAAAATACACTTGAGTATTGAGGTTATATGCCAGCCACTTAATTATCATTGCTTCACTTACGCACTCTCCATTTCATACTGACCAATCATCGGTATGCCATAATTAATAATTGATGCACACAGGCTCTTAACTTAATCACAATCACACGTTCAGTGAAGAGGCTTCTGCAGTTTGACTAGAAGAGGAGCGAGAATCCTAACTAGATTTGTAAATTTGAGAAGGATTTTCTGCAATCAACGGTACATTTCCTCAACGTAATGACTGATGGTAAGTATTCTCTATGCACCACGACCAGGCACTCATTTTGGCCCAAAAGCAATATCCTCTGAAATGTCTTATAAAAAGAGTAGTCTTATATAAGACACATGATTCAGGAGTACATTTTTACCTGGCATCCAACTTGAGCATTCGAAACTATGGTTGGCACCAGAACATAAGGCTAGCGTTTGCAAATTTAGCATTAATTCTGCACTTATTTACCGGCAGGCTTTGGGCCTAATAAAAAGTCATTTGATGGGTATTAAAATGAGCTAAAAGATGAATCCTTGTGAATAAAATTTATTGTCAAAGAAAGCATTCATAAAAGTGCTCCGAAGCAGGCTTAATAGTGAAAAACTGGGAGTATTTGGGTTCTTTGATGAAACTGCCTAAAACTGGAAGCTTTGTTGTTTCAGCGTTTATTTTCATCAGGAAAATGCACTGTTTTTTAGTGTATCGAATTTAATTAACTAAAAAGTGAATCCCTTATGGAGTTGCATGCACGAGGTCGTAAAGAGGTGAGCAGGTAACTGGGTGTTCGTGGAATTGTTTGTGTGTGATGTCTCACTTCCAATCAGAACATTGCAGTTTTTGCTCCCCCATTTAATTTTAATGATGTGAATTTTGTAATACGCATGATTCACTAGACTGGAAATAGTAGATCTGGTTGTGGTTGAGGTATTTTGACTAAATAAATGGGGAAAATACAATGCAAAGGGAAGCAAGTTATTTCTAATCACTAGGCAGTTTAACAGTTTTTTGATGAACCAATAATTCTGCGCAAAATGATTGGAACTATTATAATAGTACCAATCCTTCAACCATGGTCGAAATGTCGCAGTTTTATTAAAGTGAAATTCAGAATATAAAATGAATACCGAGTCACTTTGTGTAACTGAAAGAAAAAAATTCTTCCTGAAACTGTTTACCTTTATTAATTGGTCAGAGTTTATTTGCACAGACATTTTAGAAATTGCTGCGAAATCCTAATTTTACAATTCTTGGTTTATGGTGTTAATAACTCTGAGACTTGGACGTCCCATGCTTTGTCCCCAGGCAATAGTGGTTTAAATTTAGCTTCCTTTGCCACACACGTTAGTGGAGTTGTGCGAAACAAATTGAATTTTTACATGATATTGTTTGGAGAACCTTCGTCTACCTTTAAAGGTAGTTGGAGCCAGTTGAAAAGAATTATTTACACTATGGAATGAGTTGCCATGTAAAACCACAACTTCATAAGAAAGAGATTTGATGGTGAAAATCGGTAGAAGAAATTTACGAAAAGGAATATTAGGCTTTTACATGAACTAATACTGCTAACCTGAATTCAAACCTGCGAATACGCTTAATGTAATGCACTTGAGAGCCCTTGTGCTTGTGAAATTTTGATTGATCAGGACCCCATGACATGCTGGAAATATGCTTGTTGCCTGTCTTTTCATATGTTCTGCCCATACTGTAATGGCCGTCAAGCAAAAAGTTCATCTCATTTTTTCACTAGCTTTTTGTAAACAAAGTGATCAGTTTGGGTTAAATTTTAAGCACTATTCCTGCATTCCAAGGTCACACATTTAGAGCAATTCTAGACGTGCGTAGCACTGATGGCTCATAGCGACGTGCACTGTCATATTAAATAGTCCCCAATTACTCAGTCGTTTACGTGTCTATTCCTGTGCATGAATTAATTCGCACACGCTTAAACCGATTTGGAAAACTTCGCAGTCTAACAAAGATTGCACTACCATTGGGATTTCGATGCCAAAGTAAAAATATGTCATGCTTTAACAAAATTAAGTGAAATCTAACTATGAAGAGAGTGTCTCTATAACGAGAATCCAAGTAACGCGGATCAATTTTATGCTCGAGAGGCACGAAGAAAAAGGACTTTTAGATGTGCGTTCGAGCTTAAGGCAATAATTCTTCTCGAAAATACTTCAGAATCCTCCTCAGTTGGAAAATTAACCCCTGATATGCCACAAACTTTTCCATTTGTCCAATCGACCCAAAACTCTAGTTATATTTAATAATACTATCCCAATTTTTGGGTTTTATTTGATAGTTTTTTGTCTTTCAAATCACGGCGATTGATGGTTTCTTCCAACTTATTTTTTTTCTTGTCATAGGTCTTGATGCAATGAACGCACAGCTGAAAGCTATAGAGGTGAGTTTATCGAAGTTAAAAATTCTTACCATGAAAATGGATTCTGTAACACGGAAACTTAGCATTCAGCTCACAGTTTAGAAATCTAAAGGAAACCTCTAGTTATGCCAAAGGCTGTGAATAGGGGACAACATGACATTAAAGGAATGAACAGTATAAGGATAAATGTTCAGTCAGTTATGGGCCATTTAAATTAAATCGGACAAGTAATATCAATGAAAAAGTGTATCGGACGGATATATTTTGAAACATTTACATGGGCAGAGTCCTCCACTGGTGTTAACCTATTGTTAAAATACGTAAAAGTGTTATTGCATACGAAAGGCGTACCTGGGTGGTTTAACAATTTATCGTCTCTGTTCAAATTATGCTGCAGATCAGAAAGTAATTTTAAGAGTAAATATTAAGTTGTGTATTATAAGCACTGTGAAACTTTGATGCAAAACCATTTTAACTGCATCTCAGAGTTATAAATGCGGTTTGACAAAAGGGAAATTTATTCTGCACCATAGATAACGAGAAAGGCAGAATTGTTAAACGAAAAAGCCACATCACAAATAACATTGTTTCGCATAAAAAGGGCAGAAGCTTGTCCATTTCTTGCATTCAAAAATGCTTTATTTTGCAAAAAAAAATAGGCACGGCCTGAAAGTAAGCAAAACGTAGATTCGGCATATGTGCCTCAAGGGAAAACATGTGAACACTAATCTTGCTTTATATGTGGCATTTGGCTAGTTCAATTCTCAGGGGATTTGAGGAGCTAATGTAAGAAACAGTGATGAAATTAATATTCTTGTATGTGTCTAGTCTGAGGTTCTGGAATTCAGTGTTGGCGTAAGTCACGTTGCGTTGGACGAAGAACGTGAGAGGTACACACGAATTCGGGAAAGAATCGAATCAATCATCTTCGCTCTCGAAAAAAGTGTAAGTCTCTTTATTCCCTTTTATTTGATTTGCTATTTTAGAAAAAAGTCGAAAGTCAGTCAGAACTAGAAAATGCCTACAGGATTTTGGTTTGTTTGCCTCATTTCCATCTCCTTATAACTGGGCAAACATTTAGACATCTGCATCCACCGTTACTGAGACTTTGCGTTATCTGGAATCGATCTCCTGTCTCGAGAATATATTCACGGTAGGTATCAGTCATTCAAGCATCCTCTCAGCCGTCTTTTCGTTGAAGCTTTTCCCTGGGAAGTTATTTGTTGTGCACTGCGGTCATAGCCAATCAGTTCAAGGCTTAAATATGGCGCTAAAAAAGAACAGCGGATGCTCATTTTACGAAATGATGGACAATAGTCTCAGTTTGTGTATTAGTGACCTACGACGGCAAAGGCCATATATCACCCAGCTCAATAGGCTCATGTTTTAAAGATTATCGTGAGAGCTTTGAAGTAGTAACTGATGTCGACTTCATTAGAATGCGAGGGTGTACTGAATAGCTTTTAGCGCCTGTCCTAAGCTTGCGCTTAATTTTGGTAAAAAAGTTGCACAAGCTTTCACTAGGCCATGAAGTCCTTCAGGTGGGACCGCGCACACGCGCATCCCTGACGCGTGTGACCAGCACCATTGCTTTGTGTCTCTTGTAGGATGTGACCATGGCTGCAACGGTTACAGCTGTGGAGTTGAGTGCCGAGGACAGTGTTTCATCTCGCGTTCTCTCATCGAGAGTAAGCAACATACTGATCCTTTACAAACTATTCACAAGCTAAAAATCCCAAATATTTTAGGTTTTGTCAACTCACTACTTTGATTATAGAAAATGAACCTGCACTCTGTTTTAACGGAATGCAAGTTCCCCAACTCATTACTGTCAGACCAACGCGTCAGCTAAAAAGAAGAAATGCCAATATTTTCTTAATCATATGATGTCAATTAAAGCAGTGGAAGTTTCATTTTTCTAGATGACACAATTAGAACCGCTTGTGGAAGTCGATGTTGAAATGGCATATTCCGAAATTTCGTCGAGAATAATCCAAAACCAGCTAGTGACATTAAATCAACTAGGCAAATAACACAGTGGGATGAACTTATCAGACGACAATTAACCAGCTGTTTTACTCATCTGACAACCCATTTCAATGTCTTTGTGACCAAACCCCAGTATCCACATAAAGCGTTAAAACTCGTAGGCCGACATCGTCCAGTTTTTGGTTACCTTTGAAAGTCACACAGTTTTTTGGCAATAACGGAAAACAAAAGCTGGAGCAGTCTGAACAATTCTAATTAAAGTAACGCAATTGTAAAAGAAATATTCGGAAAAACAACGAAACGGTGAATGCAGCTAATTATATGCTAAGAGAATGCACATCCACTGATGCAGTATTGTAATATTCCGATACTATGATTGTAATAAAATAACTGCTTAGATCAATTGAAAATAGACTAAAGTTTTGATAGAATTGAAATAGGTAAGCAAGAAATGCTCGTTATCTCAAAAGCTTTTTGAATGGCGACCAACGATTTCGTAGAATTAGGGAACGTCAAAGTGGGTTACTGCTTTGATTGTCTCCTTTTTGCCTAAATCACACTAAGAAATATAGCTCTGTTAATCTACGCGACTTGCACTCGAAATATATGATGCCACGATTCGGAAGCACGATTTTGCTGTCTTTTTCTTCCTGTAAATCGAGAAATTCCTCCTTCAATTTTTTAAAATGCATTTTTATTTACAAGGAAAAATATTAGGGATAAGGTTCGAACCAACAGCGTCTTTAGACCTGATATCTTGTACAAAATGCCCCCATATGCTATTTATCTTAAATAATGTCCGGTTCATGCATTCTTCCTAAGAAAAGTCTTGATATGTACCTCCCCTCACATAAGCCGCAGTTTTCTACTCAAGTGCTGACATAATTATCGACATTGTTTCCTTTTAGTTTCTCTCTGAAAACGTGAAACAGTGCTGGGAATACACGTCACAACTTTCGAATCTCACAGCTATTCACTTAAAATCTGCTGCAGAGTTTCACATGGTAAGACTGATGAAAATTGTCTTTGTTAGTTTTATTGCCCACGTTTTTTTATAGTTTAATCATGAGGTAAATGAAGTTCGAGCTCACGCCAAAGAGTTGAGCAATATCTCCGGACAACTTCTGGAAGCATTCTCTCCAGAGGGTCGCGTTGGTGAAACATCAAATCTCAGCAATGAAATGACTGTAAGTTTAACTTTTCATTGTTTCTTACAAAGAGAAAACAACTCTTAAAATCTGTCTCAAATAGATATTTCTGAATTTGAAGCTTATTAACTCGTTTTGCATTTATTAAAACCATTTTAAAGGTTAATCGAATAATTCTGTATTAAACGGCTGTGAGATCAGAGAGCTGAAGCTGAGGATTTTGATTAAAGTAGTAAAACCTGTCAGATAGACAGCGTATTCAGGACTGCTAATATTACTAGCCACTCATTAACGCATATATTTGTGTTGGTGTGAAAAACTTTAAGGCACACAGCAAAAATATCCCTTGCGTGTTAACTAAATTATTTCCACCTGTTTACCAGTGTAATTGTTAGGTTTGCTAAGTCTCAATTCTCCTCCAACTTTACTTAATAAAGAAATACGGCAAAATTGGTGGAATTAAACACACCTTTTCTGACTTGTAAAGAACCAAGACGGCCTGAATTATTGAAGTGTTTGTTACGTTTAAATACTGTAGTACCAAAAACACATGATTTAAGTGGGATTGTTTAACCACCCAAAATTCTATTGCAATTTGTTACGGAACAGTGCCGTTTCATCAATACCATGGGACATGTGCGGTCACTAAAATACTCGTTAGACGGCCTCTAATCCGACGAAACTAATTGAAAACAGGATTTAACTTTCCTCTAACCTCAGCTTCATCGTCGTTCTTATTACGTCTAGGAGAGACTCAACGCCTTCGAAAATTTGGTGGAACGCGCGAAATTTCTTACATCGAAGGCGCCTTCAATTTTGCCTGTGGAAAATCGCCTTCTTGAAGTACGAGAAGGAAGAGCCAAGGGTTTTGAACATGGTGGGCCCCTAATGGTTCAGCTTCTCATAGACTATGTGGGGAGTCACTTTAGCGTAAAGAAAGGCGATTCATTGCCTTTGCTCGACACAACGGAGAATCCTTACCTTTGGAAAGTGCAGACTCATAACGGTCCCCAGTACATTCCCTCAATAGCTTGTATTTTGGCGTCGGCAAACAGTGAGCAGATGCATGATGCTTATGGGTATGAAATCATATTTTTTGTTGCCTAACTTCCTGAAATTTTCTAGTATCAACTACTAGCACTTTATTTGACGTAGTGTATACTTTAGCAACTGTGCAGCGTTGCCATGGCTCTACTGTTCCACTAATAAGCTGCTATGTGCATACAGCCATATATACACACCTTCTAATTATGCCCTTTATCTACTGAAACTTAAAATAGGGAATAAAAATTCAAATAAGTGATAAAAAATTGCGTATCAAGTGTCAGACATCGACGTCTTGAAGTTCTAGATGTTCTAGCTTTTTATTCACCTAAAGAAGCTTTTAAATTTACCTGTAATTTATGAAAAAGTTCTCGAAGACAAAAAGGAGAGGTACCTTATAAACAAACACTATTGACGAAACTAATGCAAATGAGGTTCCAAATTTGCTTTAATCAGTGTATTCTAACAGCTTTTAAAGATTCAGCTCTTATTTGAGTTCCGTTTCTTCTTGTAGAACCTTGATTATAGTCAAAGATGAATGGAACAAAGCTGTTGAGAACTATAAAAAACAATTGGCAGTTTTTTACAGCAAATACCTTGAGGCTATTGGACACTGCAAGGTGAGGGTAGTAGATTACTCGGCGTAGCAAAATGTTGGCTCACAATTTAATGAGTTTTTTTTTTAAGTTTCTTCACGTGACTGATACCCAAGGAGGGAGACGTTTGATGGATGACCTTAACAGGCTCCTCGTACAATGTCGTATCGATGACGGGCGACTGGAAAGAGCGATGAATGTCGTGTCAGCAAAAATGAGTAAGTTCTCTCATCTTCCTGGCCCTCTTGCATTGTTCAAACATCTTTGAGCTAAAGTAAGCATGCTAATTGACAAATACGGTAACACAGAGGGTGAAATTATTTAAAATCTTGCTTTCAAGAGCATCCATCAAACTTTGGACAAAGGCACAAAATAAAATTCCAGACCGCTGTGGATAAATGAGTTGAAGAGCGACTTCTAAGGTCAACATTAAAGTCCTTTGTTGATGGCATGCTACAAATAAATGTACATTTGCAAACCAATTTTTTTTATTTTTCGATTGCAGATAATACGGTAAAATACTGAAAAATCGAACTTTTCTGCAAAAACATTTCCCGCTAGTTCATAGTCTCTCTTTCCCTCACAAAGATGCTTTCTTTACTTGCAGAGTAGGAGGATATTTAGATTGTCATCACTTGCTTGGTGTTGCATTAAATTGTCCCACATTGTGGCAGCCATGTGTATAAAGAACATTTCGGATGGAAAAAATATATTCTTGAGGAGAACCAGTCAATAGTTTAAAGTTGAGGAAGGGACAGCCTTTCCTTCCCACATTCCCTCAAATTTCATGTTTCAGCCAAGGGTAGTTAAGAATTGCATGTTTCCTTGACTTTCCTTTAGAAACGTTTTAACTTTTGGCATAAAGAATCAGATGTCATTATGTTTTCGCGCATTCTTTGGCTACTTTAACTCTGCTCGTTTTTAGCCTCACGTATGGAAAATGCCGACGAGGTGTGGAACCACTCGGATATTTCGGCTCTTCACAAGCCACTGCTAATTCTTCATGACCAACTTCAAGGAATCAAAAAAATTGACGAACATGCTTCCTCCTTTACACCTCGCATGGAAGAGTATGTTTCAGCAATCAGCTCAGAGGCACATGGCCTTAAATCCCAGCTGGAAAGTCTGAGGTTTGCATCACAACATTGCCTTAAACGATAACGGTTTTAGTACCTATTTATAGCACTGACTTTTGTGTTGTAGAATGACCCATGATCAACATAGGGCTGATCTAAAGCAGCTCTTTGATCGAGTCCACAACTGGAAAAGCAGTTATGAGGAATCAATTGAAGGACCCACACAAGGAGTTGGACGCCTCGTCTTGTCTAGTCTATCCTCGAGTTCCGGTATCTCTTCTGAAGAATTTCTTCCAATTCCTCACCCTCCTTCTCCAATAGGCCGCATTACGCCATCAGTTACTCCTGAACCACGGGAGGTGACTGTCTATGATGCTTCGGACATGAGACGGCACAAGCCCTCACGATTGAGTATTCAGGCTTTAGATGATTTTGATGAGGTCCATGTCGAGCCCTCTAGAGTGTTCAGTGGAGGTGCTAATTTCCAAAAGAAGCAGATTCAGACCGGTGTGAACGTTAAACAGAAGTGGATAGCAAAACCTAAAATGGTCCGCGACGTCGCAACACAACGTCGATACAGGCGAGCCATCCAGAACACGCAAACGGATCTACATGGCGATCTTGTTGACTGTAGGCTTTCTAACACTCAAAGCAGATCGAGCCGCGTAGACTGCATGACACAAATTGGCGTAGTGAAAGCACCTAAAGGACAACAGGTTGATGGGTCCGTTATTTCCGCAGCCATGCAAGTTGGAGAACACCGTCCTTCAATTCAGTCTATTTCAGAAGAAGTTGTTCTCAATCGGGCGGAAAAAGCATACACAACAAGTTCGTTTGGCCATTTTCCTTGTGATGTGAATAAGAGGGAATTAATGACAAAAACTGGAGATCCACATTCACGAGCCGGCCACCAAACTAGAAGTTCGGAACTCGAAGTACGCAAGCTCGGAACAAAGTCACCGTCTGTGGAATCAGGAGCTTTTGGAGTTTGCCTACGTACGGAAGGGGCAGAATTTGAGACATTTAGGAAACAGTGTGATGGAATGACCCAGACTCAGACAACTATGAAGACATCCACTTTCGAACGTTCTCAACCTGAAATTGAGTCTTTCACCATGGAAGTTCCATTAACTACCCTTTCGGGGAACATTGAAACAAAATCAAATGTGATCAAAAAGGACGGATATCATCATGCAGAAATTGACAGAGCATCTGTGCAGTTAGAGACCACACCGCACCTACCAAGATGCTATGATGCCGAAGCTCAACTGTTCCATGCTCCTAAGGTAACCGGGAGCTACAATGGGATGAGAAATCAAAATGACTCATCTCTTCAAACTGATGACAACGGGATAAGCTACGAAATGCAGACATCTAATATGGCAGTCCAAGGCGAATTTTTCTCAACAAACCAGGAACAGATGAAGCATTTAAGTCAAGCTTTTTGTACAAGTGCCTCTTATAGTGAGCCTAAAGGCAGCGAACGGAGCATCTCCGACGTCGATTTGGAAAGCAGCGGCCTAGGCTTGGCACGCTCTACTGCAGCCATCGCTAAAGGGACATCATATATGGCAACTCACTGTACCTGCATGAAGATGGTACCACGAGAACTTCAAACAATTAATAATGCGAGCATAAATTCGTTTTCCTGTGCTCTTCATCAGCCGAAAGCCCCCGATTTTATCAAGCCGCTTTATGCCCGTTGTGAAACACCGCGTAGACTTCAAAGACCTGCTTCAGACGTTTTGAGAATCGCAGCAAGTTGCCAGGTGGGAACTATGCTTGTCCCAAAGGAGATCAGAGTCTCAGCAGTAAGCGTTGAGATTGATGACAACTTGGTAGCTGACAAATTGCATCTCCCTATGAAATCTCTTCTTTGTCCAGCATCAGTGGAGTGTCATCCAGTTTTAACTGAGGATGCGGGCATTCAGATTGTCGACATGAAAGAGGTTGCACAACTCAATATCCAAACTCGTAAAGGCAGGTATACGGCAGGGGTTGTAGAAAGCAAACATAACCCCAGAGTGCTAACTTCCCATATGGTTCCAAATGAAGCTTGCGTGGTTGAGTTTAATACTTCGGGCACTGAAACGGACAGCGGAAGCGCTAATTTGTCAAGAACTTCCTTAAATCGAAATACAGTAACTCAACGAATCTTTAGAGAAGCTGAATTCAAAATTACTGTAAACGGGGTTCAATCGGTTTCGTTAGAAAATCGTGGTGAGAGCTGTTCGTCTGAACCAAGTTACGCAACTGCTTCATGTCAAGTTGGAGTTCTTCTTTTGCCGGAGACTCTGGAGGTTGGAGCTGTGCCACTTCAACTGAGTAACATGGATAAATCCAGCAGTAATGACGTTGCTGTGGAAGCTGTTATTTGCCCTACAAAGGTTCAAATGAAGCCAGTTCTCACGGAGGATGTCGGAATTAATGTCGCAAAAACACAGGGCCTTCATCACATGAACGTTCAAATAGGTGGCTCAATGTACAGAGCGTCAGTGCAGCCAGCGTCCCACCAGCGGCTTTATCAGACTTCTGAATCCGATGGACACCAGTTGTGTACATTAGAGATCAAAGCGCAAGAAAGCTTAACTGAAAACTCTTCAGAAAACACATTGTCAAACATACAAACCACTTCTTCATCAAAAACTTTCTCAAATGCTGCTTTTACGATTGCACTGACTGGCTCGAGATCTCAGCAGGAGACGGTAAACCAATTTGCCACCTGCTCCACCTGTCATCGACAACTTGAAACTTCATGGGAATCATCAGCTTCTACAGAAATCTGTACATCAAGGAGGCGCCAGATGACAACCTCGCAGTCTACACAGGTAGGGGTCACTTTAATTCCCACAAAAAACCAGTTTAGCGGAGTCAATGCGAGAACCAAAGAGTCGAACTTAAGTCTACAAGTCGGAACTGCGACAAATAATATAATTGGCTCCTCTACTGTAAAACTAATTTCTACGCTTTCAGAAACAAGTGGTATTCAGGTAAAGGATACAGGTGAGGTTGATGCTGCAAACAGTTTAACCGAAGGAACCACGTATTTTGGCGATGCACGCAGCCAATTAGCCAAGTTTACGACCAAGCCTATTTCGCAAACTCGTCTTGCTAATCTTGCTCAGGCAACTGGTGATTTGATGCCAGGTGAAAAAACGCAAATTCAAAAACCACTTGCTGTTGATGTGGGTAAGGCAGCGAAATTTCGACAGTCCGAATGTGACATCGAGGTCGTCAACACACAAGTCAGCGACGTCTGTGAATTTTGTCATGGTAGTGGAAGAAGAGCCTCAGGTCACCTCAGTTCCCAAAACCGTCTAGCTAGCTCTACTTCTTCTACGTATCAATCTGTAGCCAACCGCAACATCAGAGGCCCACCAATGAGGAGTATCAAATGTCAGGTTGGAACCATGCTACGACCCACGCGTGTTTATTTGGCTAATGTCGAAATGAAGCCGAGGACAACCGAAGTTGCTAAACTAATTGGCATAAATGCGAACTCAATAATCTGTCCATCAAGTGTTCAGTTGAGAACCGAACTGACTGAAAATGCTGGCATCGAAGTACTCGACGTGAAGGATGTGGGCAGTATGGAGGTTCTGGCAGGAACGGCTTCATTTGAAGCAAGTGTGTGCGGTGGTGCAACAGGTAAGAGGGGCGAACGAAGCATTAGCAATGAACCGAGCACTGCCAAAATGAACATCCAAAGCGGTGAAGCAGGCCTAACCATAGGACTCGCACCCAGTCAAATAACAGTGCCTGAAATTGTTCAGTATACCAAAACCTTCAAATTGCAAGAAGTAGGCTGTGAATTCAGGATAACGAATCCTCATATCGGAAGGGTCTGTCACACTTGCTTAGGAAGCGGAAGGGTTGAAGGTTCCACGGCAATGGATTCCTCTTTTCGTTGCACTTCAGTAGATTACAACAGAAAACCTTCTTTTATTCACCAGCGTGCCAGCACACCGGTTTCTAAGGCGGTGGAATGTCAGGTTGGCATATTACTGCGTCCATCATGTATACAGGTCAGCAATATTGGCATAAATCCAAGAAATTCTCTTATAGCAAATCATCTGGGTTTGAAGGTTGACTCGATACTTTGTCCTTCGAGAGTACAAATGCAGCCTGAGCTAACAGAGTCATCAGGAATTCAAGTCACTGACTTGGGTAACCTGAGCAATATTGAAGTTCAAGCAGATAAATACACGATTGACGCAAACATGCAACCAAGACAATCTTATAAGTCTTCAGCCTCTGCAGAACAGCAAAAGAAGCCTATTCAGCAGTTAAACATTAAAAATAGCCAAAATGGTCTGACTATCGGACAGGCAGTCCCTACAGATATGGGGCATGGAGCTACTGGTACTTATGGAACATTTACTCTTCATGATATTGGGTGTGAAATTACCCTACGAAACTCAACTATTGGGACTGTTTGCACTTTGTGTCATGGCAGTGGCAGAGTGATGTCTACCACAAAGGAGCCTATAACAAAGATTTTCATGAATCCACGAGCTGAACTTCGACATCAGCACAGTTCATTAGTACCGTCTCCGATGAAGTCAGGGTCGATCGCTAACGAATCAAAATGCTGCCAAGTAGGAGCTGTTCTAACTCCTACATGCTTACATGTAGCCAATATTGAGATGCATCCCAGATTTCAAAATTCAATTTTTTCTTCTAACGCAGTTGTCTACCCAGGAGCCGTTGATCTAGAAAGCAAGCTAACTGAAACCTCTGGAATACAAATAGTCGATGTCTCGAATGTTGATTCGATTAATCTTAGCTTGAAAGACACGCCGTATCTAGTCAACGTACAGCAAACACGGCCAGCCAATACAGAAGTCTGCGTGCTAGAAATAAAATCGTTTAGCCCTAAGGAGGTTCGTAGAGATTATTCAACCTCTCGACTGGCGAATGGCTCAGTTGCATTGAGCGAAAAGTTCCGTCTGAAAAGTGTTGGTTGCGAATTCAGATTGAAAGGAGTTGGCTCTTCCATCCCGAATTATAGGCACTCTATGGTCACCAGTGTGGATACTAGATTGCCAGTAGCCAATGCCCCAAATGTTCTCATTATGCAAAAAGGGAAAGATGCCTCAAGTCAAGTTGGAACTACTTTAACTCCAACGACGGTACAAGTAGCAGATTTGTCTCTATCAATTAACGAACAAAGAATGATGACCAGCCTTGGACTTAAAGCAAATGCTATCCTCTGTCCATCGACAGTTGAACTAGAAACGAAGCTTACCGACACCTCCGGAATAACTGTGGTGGACGTTCGTGAAGTGAAGGAACTGGGAATAACCGTAGGTGAAAAAAAAGGCGCGGTGAGTGTTGCAGGTAGAAAAATGGGAGTAAGGGGTTTAAGCGCCAACTTCGAACCTCCAGAACCCGCTTACCTGGTTTTTAATTCCCGTCAGTCTATGAGCCTCGCGCACACAAGAGGCATGATCAACACGACAGCGATATCTGAAACAAAAAAAACTATTGACCGAAATGCAGGATGCACATTTCGAATCCGTCAACTTGCGGAACCGTTGAAATCGGTGGCCCTCTCAAGAACGCAGTTAAAACCTGAAGTATGTAAGCAGGAGAGCATCGGTTGCCAGGTCGGTGCAAAGATTATACCCGATACAATAAGGGTTTCTTCCGTCAAGTTACATGTAGAGGATGATGCCAGTGCAGATATTTTTGGAGTTCCAGTAGGTTCAACACTTCTACCAACCACGTGCAACTTTAAAACACAACTCTTCGAAATGCCGGGCATCGACTTGGTCCAAATGAATTCAGTGGACCAGCTCGAACTGCAGATTGAAAATGAAAAGTTTAGTGCTCAAGTGGACGGAGGTAGCTGTAGACTGAAGACTTCCACTACGACAGGAACATGGAACAAGAAACTTGCTACATCCAGCCTGCCCGGTTTTCAAAGAACCGCAGCCCAAGTGACTTCTGGAGCCCAGCGAGCAGATGCTCATTTACCCCTCACCACTGGTCCATATCTGATAGCAGAGTGGGAAACTATTTCCCCGAAGGAAAGTCTTGTGGTACTAAGTGGACTTACTCTGGGAGGACAAAAATTGAGGCTTCGAGTGAACGGTGATATTCGTGGTAAACTGCACGTGCAGACAGGGCAGTTCACACCTGGTGACGCAAAACAAGTTACCGGCTACATAGGTTCTCAGATGGGAACAGCAAACAGAGTTTTACCGGGAAGGCCAAACTCAAGACTGTGTGACGTTGCGTGCGAGGCTTTAATCAAACCCGATACACTCGAAAAAAGGTTACAAACAGCAAATCTCTAAGGTGTCTTCTGCAGGACATCTCGTGTTAGTACTACTTGACTCCATTTTACTGCTTTTATATTGTTTAAAAAAACTTTTGCGACATTTCTTTTCACTTCTACCAGTTTCCAACTCTTACCCTAGGCAATTCTGGCAATACTTATACTTTGGTTCCAGCAGAATTATCTCTGCTTTTGATATATGCAAGTTTTTTTCTGTGGTTTAGGTGACAAATGGCACTCCTTCTTAACTAAGGACTAAATTCATGCAGTAGAGTCGAGTTGTGCTGCTTTTAAAAAAATGTTTTAAGGTTGCATATTTTACTCTTAAGTAGAAATCTGCCATTTTATCTGCTCTGCTTATTTGTGGCAAATGATATAATGACATCCATTGGAACAGGATTACCTGCACTTAAGCTTAATACGTCATTGTATGTATTTATTGAAGTCTCCTCATCAACATGGAGTCTGACGTTTGAAATTTCCTTTACAGAGACTTCCATAACTTAACGTAGATTGTCGCTTTTTTGTAACCAGGTATGTAGAAGTAGCAGTCAAAACTATTTAAATTGTACTTTTCTACCACGGGCTTCAGCAAGACGGGAATTAGTGTGCTTAATTAGGTTTTTGTTAAACCAACCTCCCAATAGCTTTCTGAGATTATCACGTACTTGTTGCACGATGTGACTAGCTACGGGGAATACGGAAGAGTACCTTGTGACGAATTGGCAAATCATGGGCTACTGATACATCCTAAATAGACTATTTACTAAGGTAAATTAATGTAACCATTTTGCCGTGTTTTCGGTACAGATCATTTGGGTGCAAACATTAAACAATTTGCTGTTTTCTATACTTGGACAAAAAGTAGATCCCTTGTCTAAATGCGGGATAAACTCGTGCGAAGGACAAAACTTAGAACTCCCTCGCTGACCACTTGAGAATCGCACAGTGATGCTCAAACGTTTTCAATAATATGCGGTTAGACTCGTAAAAACCCACTGTTTACTTTGACTATGACATGGATGTGTAAAGCAGGACATACGAACAACACGCTTCGTCGAATATCTTTTATCGTAGGTTTAGAGTATGTTTCATACCGAAGCTCCAGGAAATTAAATGAACGAGTTAAAAGTGTTGAAGCCTTTTATTTTAATAGCGGATTTCAACTTGACTTCAAAGTAACTATTGACGTTTTTCTTGCCATTTTTTGCATGTACAATGCAGCTGTTTAAGAAATGTATAGAAAACCATTTGTGTCGGAATCCACGTAGTTCCATGTAAAACTGCTTTTTTTTCTTTTCAAAGTGTTTATGCGTGTCATAATGTTGTTTCGTTAAATCAGCTCAACTGCGGATTTGATCACTTTCGGACAAGTTAAAACGAAGTTGCATCATGCAACTGATAGAAAGACTAGCCAGGTCACTAACCATTTGAATATTTATGGCGATCCTTGAACTACAATAATTGTATTGCCAATTGCTGCAAAGTCGCAGTCAAGCGAAACAAAGCCTTTAAATCGAATTTGCCCCATGAACTGATTGCTTTTGCTGCTTTTAAACGTCTGGATAACATATCAATCTTGAAAATAAATGTTTCTTTCTTTACAGATTAAAAATACAATAATCATTAACATTAGACGTGGCAACACTCAAAAAAACATAAAAAATAACATGTTGTTTTGTTTTGTTGCAAAGAGAACTGCTGTTTCTTTTGGTTACTTAGCAGCATTTGAAACAGACGGGCTAAATTAATTTATGGTCGCCTAATAATAAAGGTCACGTCCCTGTGTTTGGAGTGTGCTCAGAGTGTGTGGCCCTGTCGGCTTTTGGGGTTACTTTCGCAGACCCTCGATTATCACATACTAGTACGAAAGTGCATCGACCTACGCTGAACGCATTTACACAATTTTTTGGTTCTGATGACCTAGTTCGAGTGGCTAATTAATTCTGTACTAAGGACGGCATAATTCTAAGCTTGGAAAGTAAATATCAGATGCTCTGATTTTGACACAAAAGAATTTTCTACTATTAAACAGTGGGGATTTGCAGTTGTCTCCTTGTTTGTTAGTTACGACATTTAAAAGAATGTTTAATAACAAAAAATTGGTTTGTGGATGTGAATAAATAAGCGGAATTACCGAAAACTCAATCAAGTACTGAAAAAATGTGTACTTTAGTCCTATAGGAGCTAAAAATGGGACATAGTTTTGAAATCATGACGTTAGTCATTGAAATATGCAGAAACCTCTTAATAAGTATGTCATACCGTGAGGCAGGTTGATTTCCACGATGGAATTCCTGTCAGAAAAGTCCTTCGGTGTCTGTCGCAAAATAATGACATTCGACTTTACTTCATGCAATTTGGTGGAAAACAACGTCTAAGTATACTGTAGGTCAATAAATTTTCATTCAGCTTGTGGGATTTTTAAGCCGCCTTAAATGTAACGTAGAAATTTATAAGTTTTCTTTGTTAAATTCTGCAATCGCGACATCAGCCAATCTAAATGAGAGAGCATTTATAACACCAAGTGTCGCATTTTAGGTAATTTGAGAAAATAAAGTGGCTTTTTTTCTGCCAATAGCATTAACATTATGTGACTAGGTGTCCCAGTGAAAGCCACTTTCAATTATCGAAACTACTTGATTTAAAAGAATAGAAAGAAGATTAGACACCAGTAAGTCAGTTTCGTGCCCATGATTGTAGCCTACCCCTGACTGGTTCCACCGGTTTTATAGTAAATTTACTATGCGTGAAAATGGCCTCAAATTATTTTAGCACCCAAACTTTCATTTAACTGTCGATCGATAATGTTCAAAAGCACGTGTCTTACGGTGGCTCCACGTCTTTTTGGCACATCGCATGCCCGTCTTTCGAGGATTCAGTCCCATTTGCCTCCAAAATAAAGGATGCTCTATCCGCCAAATGCTAACCCTTCTGGGAGCACTTCTTATTTGCTTTTGTGTCGACGGTTGTACGTACAACATTGGCATAATGATCTCCTACTGGTCAACAAGTCTCAACGTCGATACATTCTTTCTCTCGTGGGTCGGTTCAATCCAGATGCTTTGCACTTACGGTTTGGGGCCGTTGTCTAGCTTTCTCATAAATTACTTCGGACTGACTGCCGTAGCCATTACAGGGGCAATAGTTGCTTCGTTGGGTCATTTAATAACTGGGATTGTGGGGAGTATGATTACATTGTATATATGCTTCGGCGCAATGGCTGGAATCGGTTATGGGTTGCTTTACATGGCTGCCATTATTGCTGTCACTACGGGATTTGATGAGTTACGACCAATGGCAATGGGAATCATGGCCTGTGGGTCCGGAATAGGCGCCTCTGTACACAGTATATTGTACCCTTTTATCGAATCCATCGTAACATGGAAGGGACTGAGTATCTCAACAGCTGGATTACTTCTACATGCCTGCATATTCGGCTGTCTTCTCGGACTTACCCCACCCAAGATATCAGCTCAGCCCCAAGTTACTCAGTCAGCCCAAAACCCTATATCTAGTATGTTTAGCCTCGATTTCCGTTCCCTTGGTCTTCTGGGTTCAGGGTATCTTAATCTGCCTACGAATCCAACTAATGAGGCATCTACATCACAGGCGAATCTAAAAAATGCGATAGTTACTCCAAACATGCAACACATGATGGGAAGTTTGGGATCATTTACATATTTGGTTGAAATTGAGAAGATTGTGAACCAGATGGGACTATTTGGAAAGGGAGATCCCCTACATAGGAATACTGCGTTTCTTGTCTTTATTATTGCAGTATTTCTTCAATCACTCGGATCTCTCTCACCAGTCGTTCTGTTTTTCGATATGTTGCTCATGGAAGGTATGAATGAGAAATCGGCATCAAGTACGGTTGCATTAATGGGGATATTTAATGCAGTTGCGAGGCTGCTATTTGGCACATTGGCCACATTTGGTTGGGTGAATAAAACATTTCTTCTTGCACTCTTCATGGTAGCTAGTGGAGGAATCAACGTTGGCGTGTTCTTCTTTCAACAAGTGCAATTTTTGCAGTTATATTCCTGTGTCGTTGGACTCTGTCTAGGTACGTCCCTCTTAGCTGCGATTGTTCTTTTTAAATACTCTTCAGCTATTTTTTTAGCGTTCTTGAGACAGCATACATATATTAACGAACAACGTTGGCAGGGAACTCCAGTTTAAGCATCGGAAACACCATTCTTTATGCATTTTTTGGAAAACAAAACGAACTAAACACACGCAAGAACAAAATGGCCTTTGAAACCAAAGTGCCAGAAATCGTGAGACACGTAATATCCTGGCGAGAACTAAATTACTTTGCCCAAATACCACAGTCAAATTTATTGTTCTTCGAATGGTGTGTAATATTTCCTAACCTGTAGTGGGACGTAATCTGGGGACGCACAAAATGAAAATATACTTAGTTCATATGCGTAGTGGGATATTGTAGGATAAAGCCACCGCCTGGTTTGATGCAGCCACATGTATTACAGTAGCAAAAAATTGATATGTTTTATGTTGCATTTGGATGCGTTGACCAAATCCATTAACAGGAGAAATATCTACTTGCGTTGGTTTCCTCCAATCCATTTAACTTACTGGTGAGTGGGATCACGAGAACTTCTTGCAACATCAGTAAGTTTTTACATCCCAATCAGACAACACAACGTAGGGCACAAATTCATCGACTGAACATTTTTGTTTTTTAAGATTTGTCAAAAGCGTATCGAGCATGCTTTACCTCTGCGGTCTGCACCCCTATAAAGGGAGTTAGAAATGAACCCTGCTAGTTATCACGCTAGTTTATAGAGAAGACAGATTCCTAAGTGACCGTGGTTTGATTTTTCTTCATAGGAGGTGTGACGGTGCTGCATCCTCTAGTGTTAGCGGATCTTGTTCAGCTGGAACGCTTAACTGAAGCCATGGGGTGGGAAATCATGTTAGGTGGCTTGGGTTATTGCTTGAGTACGCCACTAGCCACCAGCATCAATCTATGGCATGGCAATATTCACATCAGTTACCTCGTATCAGGGATACTCATGGTGCTTGGAGGGTGCTTTGCAATTCTCACCCATTGGTCACATCGCACCTTCACCGAGGACGATGTCAATCGTCTACGCAGACGCCTTGAGGCGGCGCTCGGTTAGGGAACATGTAAGCATAGTTTTGGCTGTCTTTGTAAACAAATTCGGAGATTCTCACACAATTCAGATCTGACAACATAATCCAGTATTCTAAACCACTTTTCATCGGAGCCTAGCACATAACTTATTATTTGTAACCTTTCCCACCTACAAAATTTGAAAGAAATAAAACGCGTTTTTATCTAGCTATTCAGTATTCTGATCCGGAATGATGAAACAAAAGACTCGAGTAATTAAATGGCAGTAGCGCTGAATTTACCATTGCCTGATGAAGTACAATTAGATTCATCAGGGACCTTCCCGAGCCACCTATAACCACCGCAGTGACAAGAGTACATTTCACCGCCGTTTAAGCCACCGGCGGAGATTGGATAGGGACTCGTGTAACGTGTTGTGCTCACAAGCACGATCAAAGTGGATGTGCGATTCACGCAGATGGATGGTGGTTGGGGGAGGCTCCACAACAAGTTGCTACTTCATACCACCTCAAACACTTCCTCCGATTTTTATGCCCCGTTAAGTGCTACTAGAATTATGCCAATTATGGGTCTTCGGCTCTAACCCCCAGAAGTGTGCGAATATTCAACAGAACAATCTGGTGTTCGTTACTACCGAAACGCAACTACTGACACTGGCAGCGACGCCCCTCCCAGATGTGGACCACTACGACGCCAGCACTTTCTCAACCATGGTGGTTGAATTAGCAATCCAAATCCGATACGTGGGAAACGCAGAAGTTGCCATGCGCGTGGAGGTTGAAGTATCGCGTAACAGGCCTCACAACAGGATATCCTAAATCGAATTAGCTTTGTCCCCTTTCAATGTTGAAAAAGCAAGCA